TGCTTGATTGTAATACCTGCATAGACTGGTCTGAAGGAAGAGCAATTGCATATGCTCAAATAGCTGAGTTCCCACTTGCGTGCCCCTTTGTCAACTTTGCCACGTCCAGCATTAACTGTGAGATCTCTTTGTTGTTCATCAACCATGGTGGTGGTGGTCAAGACCTTGATGTTTTTGGGATTGAAATGAACTTTTTAACGGCCTACACTGAGGAAGGGGTGCTATGGCTCTTGTCCATGCTTCAGTGGCAATAAATGACTTCACTTAGACAAATGAAAATGAAGGAAATTAAGGTTAATAAGTGTAAAAATCAATTAAAGTTAGGACTTGATGGAATTGGAAACCCTCCTTAATTTGTATTAAGTCCTTTTTTCTATGCATTAATTAAGTAAAATACCACTCATACATCCTACACATATATTAACTTTTGTCCCCATGCATTGCACCACTAAATAAGAAACATAAATTTCATCATTCACAGATCGAATGTTGTATTGTGTTGTGTCTTTAAAATTAGTTTATTATGTTGTTGTTTTGTTTGATTTGGTTGAGCAAGTTTGCATGTATAGGCCAGTGTATACCAACATTGTATATAGTTAGGCATCCAGACCTTAAACATAGCTTGTCATGAGTATAGGTGATCTGCATACATAGGGAGGGACCTAATTGCCCCGAACCAGATCGAACAGTTACGGAATATTAGAAGCATAATGATGTGCACAAAAGTACCTACTAAATTTAAATTATTAACCTAACTAACTTAACTAACTAAAATGCACCTAGGCAGTGTACCTAGTTAAATTACAGAATAATTTAGGTAAGTTGGGTGTCGATCATAGGGAACGGTTTTAACTAATTAAATTACATACTATTAAATTAACCTAATTTTCTAACAAAGTAGTGGTTTTATCTAATTTTGCAAGTTTAGATAAACTTAATTCCTTAACACAATTCAATCAATAAACAAAACATTTCTGTTAGTTTGAATCCACCTTCCTTCAATGGTTTAACTATTGATTATGACAATTCCTGTTGGTTACCAATTAAAATGTTATTAGCAATTCATTTCCAAAATTACCAATATTAAACTAATTCATGTAGGGCTATGTATGGTCACACATAATTTAACACATAATCAATTTATTACATAGAATTGGAGCTATGTAAGATTGGATTTATAAGCACAATTGTGGTCACGATATGAGTTCTCTAGCATAGCTAAATTTAACAATTTAATTCCTTAACTAAGATTGGTTCAATCTTAGTTCTATTAATCTAATGTTCATTAAATTACTAGGTATTCAAATTCATGCAGATTAATGATCACTAACTACACAGAATGAGAAGTTTAAGCAATCACACTATCAAATCAAGCATGCTAGGTATACCAATCAAACATAAGACATAACCAACAAGAAAAGTCTAAGTTAATATATTAAAACCATGAGTTCCAACTTCATCTAGCTAACAGAAGCATGTAGATTTAGTTGGACATGCTAACAAGTAAACATAAATAATCCATAGTAAAAAACATATTAAAAATACCAAACTAATGAAGAAATCAGAAAAATTCAATAAGCCTAGACTAGAATAGTCCAAGTGTTGAAAATACTAAAACAGAGTTTGAGAATTGTCACGTGGCAAGTAGTGCGGAAAATAAAGAGTTGTGAATCACAAGTTAATGATAAAAACGTTTTTTAATGTTCAAGATCAATGATTTAAATGTTTCTATTATTCATGGAGATTCAATTACAAGTGTTTGAATGTAAAACACACTAAAACTCTCAAATGGCTCTCTGAAGACTAGTCTAAGCAGCAATTTGTGCAGAATGAGTAGGAATGATCAGAAAAGAGCAACTTTATAATGGATCCCAGGGGGGCTATTTATAGGCTTTGGAAAAGCCCATGACATGGCTTGACCAATAACGTGTTGACACGTCATCATGACTTACTCATCATTTGATACATTTGCCCTACTTAACGGAGAAGGGATAGAATATTCCAATTCTATTAGCATTCCGTTATGGTTCCATCTAAGTTATGAGTCTTCATAATTCTTGAACCTTCTTGATCAACATTGAATTTGTGATGAGCATCATGTTGCTCAATTGTCTTCTTGGATGTCATCAACTTCCAGAAGTGTTGTTGATCATGTTGAGTAGTTTCTTGAACGTTGGATAGTGTCTTTAACTTGAAGATGTACCATAACATGTTCACGATGGACCATGGACGAAATTCATGTTCCATTGAGCATTTGGGCATGCCTTCATTGTACATGATGAGTCATGTGCAGTCTTGTTGAGCCATCAACGTGATCATGTTGATCCATTGACTTGAGTTGAGCCACCAAGTATTCTTGTTGAGCCATAAACTCCTATTGAGCCATAGAGTTGTGGATGTGCCAACAATGTTTCTGATGAGCCATCAATATTCCAAATGATTTATCAGCATCTTGATGCTCCGCATATGATCTAGATGTGTCATCTGAGATCATGATGACCCAACTAGCTTTCAACAAGTGCTCCATGTCAACAGCAGGTGCTCCATGTAAGCTTCAAGTGCTCCAACATCTAATTCTTCAAACACTTGTTGAATCTTCAATATCTTTCCAACCTGAAACATTCTGATAATGTTTGTTAGAGATATATATAAAATGACTCAACTTATTTCAAGTGACAATCACATACAAATATTTTCCAACAGTTCCCCCCTATGTGATGGTTACTGAAATAAGGAGTAAAAATAAAAGAAGAAATAAAAGTAATAACATGCAAGATGAATTTTAACAATAAGATAAATTATCAGTAGCAAAAACATCATCCACATGTTCGAAAAAACAAAACAAAAAAAAACATAATCTAAGCTTTGTTTCTCAAGTTTATTAACCATTTCCGAAAACTCAAAAACCATGTAAGTTCTTCAACGATCTTCACTCTTAGCGATTCATCTTGATCTCATGTTCTCTTCAATAAACCAATAATGCCTTTAATGAATTCATAAGAGAATAGATGTTTTTGGGAGGCTCTCATGAATTTCAGTCGACCTTTAGAAGAGAATACAACACCTATATGTGGTTTCTTTAGAATGTTCCCAGGCAACTCATTCTCCATATTTAGATCCACATTTGGTTCCTCAGCTTCCTTTTCTCATAGCTGTTCAATCTCCCAGTCAACACTGAAATCAATAACCATGTTGAGCACAAATGCCTTAGGCGTTCTAGAACATCTGCATACGCTTTATTTTTACTCACCCTTTGTTTCAACCAAATGATCAGTGATATGATATTAACTTGGTTTATTTTAGGGAAATCAGCTTCAAAAAACATGAATTCAGAGTTGTCAGTCCTTCTCACTTGAAAGAATGCATATGGCATATTACTGAATTTTCGTATGTTAATTTTGCTAATTAAAGCAATCTTGAAGTTTGACCATACAGGTACAACTTGAATTGATTTCTTCATAAAGAATCTTTTCTTTAGCTCTTAAATGTTTATATCAACCTCAACTAGATAAATTGCACTTGGTCATAAATTAAACTTCATACCATTCAGGGGTGCAGGAATATCCCAGTTTTCTTTAGTGAGGTATGAAGGAGGTATGAAGGAATTTGTGGGCTTGATGACCTTTACCTTTTGATAAGAATCTCTATCAGGGTTAAAGAAGATAGTTCTTTTAGGTGAAGATACTCTAAATTTTTCATCTGTCCATGTACTCCTTTCTTCAATTGAGATCTCTGAAGATTTCCTTTTGCGAAGAATCTCTTATTTAGACTGTAATTCCTTAGCCTTCAGTTGCTTAGCTAATTCTTCATCTATCCACATTTGAGCTTCTTTAGCTAATTCCTTCTTAGACTTGAAGATAATCTTCTATTTTCCCTTATCCTTAGGATCAGTTTGAGAAAGCTTTGGCTGAGTGGTTGGTTTTGATATGGTGACAGGTTTGGAGAAGTAAACATCTTTCCTTCTTGGAAATTTTAGAGATGGATCTTTGATCCCTTGTTGAAGAATGAGTTACTTTTCTTTCTCCGCTATCTTTTCTCTGTTTTGTTGAGCCTTTAATCATGCATCAGCAGCCGTTTTGTCAAGTGACTGTATTTTCTCATATCTCCTTTTCTCAAACTCATTTGGTGAGTTTGGAATTTGGTGTATGACAGGAAACTGACTTGATCTGGTCTTGTGGACCTTTTTCCCATTTGGTTCAGGTGGCCTCTCATGTGAACCAGATAGTTTTGCTAAGATCAAGTCAAGTAATCAGTTGAGGCATCCTTTTGTTGAAGATCACATAGATTTAAAGTGGAAGATTGTTTATTAATAGCCTTGATTTCATCAACTAGCAACTGAACAGTCTTCTGAAGGGAAGATATGTCACCTGATGAGCTATTGTTTTTATTAGAATTGGATTTGGATAGATTTGTTATGTCAGATCTTAATGAATCCTATTAACGTTGAATGTAATCACTGAATGCCTGAAAGGGAGAGGTGGAGGAGGATGCAATTTATATAGTTCAGCAATGAACTTCTCAAGAGTGGAGATATAGCGGTCTTGAGCAGTAACATGATTCTGCATATGATCTAATTTGGCTTCATAGACAAACTCTAGATTGGATAAGGACTGAATGAAGTCATCTATCTTCTAATTCTTCGGAGAGAGACAGACTTCAATAGTGTTATGAATTTTCTGATCTAGAGTTTCAATCCTCCGCATGTTTACGAGCAATTTGTCCTTTGATACAAGCAGTTGTGCCTTCAAAATCTTCAATAGTGACTTGAAGTGTTTTGACCCGTGCTTCTGTTTCTTATTAAGGATACACATATTTGCTTCCATACATTCAAGATTTTCTTGAAAGCTCTGCAGATATTGAGAGTGAGAAGATGTGTGAAAGCAAATCTCTACAATACCATCAGCTACCATTTCGGCAATAAGTCTGATGCGCACAGGCTCTGGTTTTGTGGTATTGTCTTCATTTGTTTCTTTAGGAGTACCATTGTCTTGATGAGGATCTTATTGAAAGGATGAGAGATTTGGTTCGTTAACGTCATCTTTTTCTTGAGACTCTTTTGGAGTTGAAGGAGAATAGTCATCAAGATCAATGCTGAAAGTTCTGGTAGATGCGTTGGAGTAAAGGACAATGGGCATGTCATTTGTCTCATCATCGACTATCAGTACTTCACTGGAAGGAATATCTACCGTCCGCATTGGAGTATCCTTATCGAGATTATCATGTACAGGATAACCTTGAGGAATAGTTTCCGGTTTGGATTGTTTATCATCATCTTGGTTATTGTCCTCAAGTGAGTCATAATCCAAGGAGACATGATGGCTTGGAATTTCTAGAACCGATTGAACTCATGCTGGTGAAACGTAAGCTGAAGAGAATGGTTCCTCTAAATCTACTCCATGATTATCATCAGAGACGGCTGGAGATAAGGTAAGGGCGGTTGACTTGATTTGGATTTCTTTTTCTTCTTTGCCGACTTCGTGGATGCATGATCAGAATGTTTCCTCTTCTTTTTAGGAGGCGAAATAATTCCCTGGATGTAATTCTGGGATGAGCATAGAGAAGCACTATTTTCATCCAACTTTGTAAGTATAGAATATAGAATGATGATTGGTTATGAAGATCCAGATTCAAATGTTGTGCGAATCCGATATGGTGTCATACATAAGAAATGTGTTTGTGGGCCGTCTGGAATCCATCCTGGTGCAAGATTGCTATTATGGATGACGTCATAAATAATGATTGACCACCAGCGAGGATGATGAATTAAAAACTTATTCTTTGAGGCATGGAGAAAATTAAGGAAACCTTCCCAGAGAATAGATACGTAGTAAATATTGATGTCGTAGAAGAGCCCATACATAAGAATCCAAAGGTTTGTTTTACCGCGACTGCGTCCACCAACTGATCCGAAGAGACACCTAGTAAGGACAGAACTGAGAAAGTGCCATGGTGTGGGAATACAAAACTTCTGAATTCTTGACAGGCATGGTTCTTGTTCGTCTTCAAATTTATACCCCATTTCCTTGAACATTGTCAACAATTGAGCAGAAGTTGGTGTGACAAATGTCTGAGGTTTAGGAGGAATATCGCTTAGACCTAAATTGACTGCAAACTCTTCTTTAGTTAGGACCAAAGTAGCTTGAAAAAGATTAAATTCAACATCAAGTTGTTTAGACCTTGCTCTTGTGGAGATGATTGTTGACTGAAAGACTTCTGTGATAAGAGATTGTGGAGTTGGAGAAGTAGAAAGAAGTGCATATGTTAATGGGCATTTATGCAGATATTTAACTATGACACCGACTTCTTTGGGTTGTTCCTGAGTGTTGAGAAGTACAATATAGTTGGATGTAGCTATTTCAACTTTAGGTGATGATGAGTGTCTCTTAGTTGAAGGTCTAGTGGCATGAGTGTTTGAAGCCTTATGAGAAGACTTTGCTTTAGAAGTCTGGCCATCTTTCTTTGGAAACCATGTCTTGAGAAAACAGAAGAACAAAAAACAAAAAAGAATAAAATGAATTGTGTGTTAAATAAATATAGCTAAAAAATAGTTAGCTTATAATCTTAACTAAAGAAAAAAAGTGTGTGTGTGTGTGGGGGGGGGGGTGGAAATGTGTGAATTTGAATTTACTAAACAAGATTGTGACTTGAGTAGTATTGTTGATTCAACTATGCACAAGAAGAATGTGCAAATTCATTTTCACTGGGTATAGGCCATAAACCAAATTACATGACAAGTTGGAGTAGGAAAGAAAGAAATTAATGTCATATAAAATAACACAAAAAAATTGATGTTACTTAATCATAGCAAAAGTGCAAAGATCAAGTAAAGTTGCTAAGTCATGGACTATGATGACTACGGTACATCAAATGAAAATGTCTTTAGAAACTAGCATAAAATTAGGTATCATAGAGACAGTAGTTAACAACTATTTATGTAAATCCAAGAACACATAGAATTGTGAACGGATTTAGATAAAGTTGAAAAATGGAAGAAAAAAATATATGTTGATCCTAAAATAACATATAAAGACATGAAATTAAAGATCACGTAAAAGTAAGAGAAGAGAAATTACCTTAAAGAAGACAGGTGTAGGTAATAGACTTGTGAGTATGAAAAGCAAGATATGCACCAATAAGTATAATGCTCACAAGAAAGATTTGATCAAAGACTCAACACTAAATAACCTAAGCATGGTATGTGAAGATGAATAAATGATCAAGAAGAAATAAAAGAAAATAAAAAAAATAAGAAATGGAAATAAAATAAAAAATTACTCACCCAATATGATTGAAAAAGAAGAGGTGTTCACTTAAAAGAAGTGGTAGGCCAATGCTAGGGGAACCTGACCATAGGAACATATGTATAGACATGAATCATCAACTAAGGATGGGTAACATTATTATATACGATATGTGAACATGCGAGAGAGATGTTACTTACCAGTCGATGTCTTGTTGAATCAATGAGTGACAGAGAGATAAGTCAACACAAATGACACATGAGATATTCAAATCTATGTTATGTCAAGAGAAAACAAAACTTTAGAAGGTGTACATCATGCTCATCATAGAGTGTAAAGAGAAAGAATGAACACTTACCTAGAGTGATCAAGGAATGTGATGCTCAACAGAAAATGATGATGGACCACATGATGATAAACACTAAACACGTGATGATTCAATAATCAATGTTAAGTTGACTATGATGTACAAAGAAAAAAAGGGAAAAAAATAAATACACATGTAGCATATGATAATGCTCATGAGGTTGATTTGTGACAACTAGGGTTTCACAAAAGAATTATGATGCTTACTTAGATTTTTGAGATGATCCACATGAGAGAGGTTGAATGGTGATTCTCCAACAAGTAGTTGATGATGATCCAAAAGAAAAGAAAACTACGGTTTGTACAAAACAAAAAAATGATCTAGAGTTCAAAAAAAATGAATTAGGTTTTTTTTTTTTTTAAAAAAAATGATCACCTAGGGTTTGTGAGTAGCTCAAGAGGTGATGATGTGATCAATTGATGTTGCTCCAAGACTTTGATGCTCACTTGGTTTTCGAAATTTAAGTCTTAATCAGGTAAGGTTTCAAAACTTGAATGTTGATCAACTAGGGTTTCGAAACTTGAAGGTGAATCAATTAGGGTTTCGGAACCTGAAGGTGGATCAAGAAGGTATCGAAACTTGAGTGTGGATCAAAAGGGGATCACATAATCTTGTTGATGATCAAGAGGGTGGATGCTCAAGTGTGGTGAATTCCCTTGTTGGTGAACACAAAATCTTGTTGATGATCAAGAGGTTTTTTTTGGCTCAAGAGTGGTGAATGGTCTTGTTGATGATTACAAAATTTAGTTGATGATCAAGAGGATTGTACAGTGAGTATATATAGGACACATCTAAGTTTTTGAAGGTTGAGTGATACATAAGAAAATGAGATCAAGAGTGTGGCTCAAGAAGAAGAAGAAAGTGGTGCAAGTTGGGAAGGCTCAAGAGGGTTTTGGTTTTGACTTGTTGATCATGAAAAAAAATGGTGGGGATCAAGAGATGTGGCGTTGATGAGTTAAGAAGGGAAGGGTCAAGAAGATTTAGGTTTTTTCTTGATGACAAAGATACTTGTGGCTCAAGAGAGAAAAGGTGTAATTAGGGTTTTTAGGTCAAGAGGAGTTGTGAAATTAGTGATGTTTAAGAGGGATTTCGAAATTACTTGATGAGCAAGAGAGGGTTGTTGAGGGTTAAGAAGAATTTCGAAATTAGTGATGCCCAAGAGGTATTTTGAAGTTACTTGATGAGCAAGAGTGGGTTGTTAAGGGTCAAGAAGAATTTTGACATTAGTGATGCTCAAGAGGGAATTCGAAATTACTTGATGAGCAAGAGAGGGTTGTTGAGGGTTAAGAAGAATTTCGAAATTAGTGATGGATCAAGAGGGATTTTGAAATTATGGTTAGACTCAAGAAGTGTTTCGAAATTAGGGTTTGGCTCAAGAAGGGTTTTAAAATTAGGGTTTGGCTCAAGAAGGGTTTTGAAATTAGGGTTTGCCAAAAAAAGTGTTTCGAAATTACTTGATCAGCAAGAGAAGGTTTTGTTTTTGGGGATGGCTCAAGAGAGCATTCAAAATTCTTGTTGATCACAATTAGGGTTTGCTGAGCCAAACTAGGGTTTTGAGAGAAACTTGTGGCTCAAGAGAGGATTTTCGAAAATAGGTAGGTTGTTGAGCTAAATTAGGGTTTTGCAACAAGAAACTTATGGCTCAAGAGTGAATTTTCGAAAATAAGGAAGTTGTTAAGCCAAATTAGGGTTTTGCAACAACAAACTTATGGCTCAAGAGTGATTTTCAAAATTGAGGTAATTGAGCAAAATTAGGGTTTTGGAACAAGAAATGACTTGTGGCTCAAGAGGTGATTTTTGAAAATTGGGTTGTTGTTGATCCAAACTTGTTGTTGTGCCAAGGCTGCTTGTTGCTCACCAACTGAACTTTCTTGTTGCATACGCGTCTGTTGTTCACGAACCCTTGTTGATCCAAGCTAGTATGAGAGTAAGAATTCTTGAGAAAGTGAAAAGGAACGAATGAGAAGTAGAATTGAGGTATTTATAATTAAAGGTTTCTAGGGTTTCACAATAGGCCGAAATAAGGCTTGCATGGGCCAACTTGTGGGCCCATAAGGCTTGGATGGTACTCATGTATAAATAGGAGAATTGCAACTTGAGCGCGTGAATGATGCCTTGAGAATCAAGAAAGAAAAGGTGGTGCATGCATGGATGATATCTTTGATATGTGAATGGAACCTAAGGAAAAACCTACTCGATACGTGCATGACATGCTTGACATGTGCATGGCCTACTTGAGATGTGCATGGTCGACATGAAACGTGCATGGATAACTTTAAACGTGCATGGCTTATTAAAAACTTGTATGGCATATTCAAAACATCATGGCACATTTATTATACTTTATGTGGACTTAATGAGCCACATAGGCATGATGCATCAAGTGGCTGAAGATGCTTCAAGCTGTTGATCATGTGCCAATGTTCTTGATCATGCTCCAATGTTGTTGAACATGGTGCAATGTTTTTGAACATGCTCCAAATGACTGAAAATGCTTCAAGCTAGTCTAAGTGATCAAGATCCTTCAAGTTGGTGAAATTGCTCCAAGGTACTTCCAGTTGATCGAGATGATGAAGATGTTGCAAGATGATGAAGATTGTCCAACGTGACTCAAGATGATGAAGATGAATGAAGATGCTTTATTCATTCGTCCAGTTGGTCCAAAGATGAGGAGATGATCCAAGAGGGTCCAAGTTGTATGTTGTTGCTCCAAATTTGGTCCAAGAGCACGAAGTTGCTTCAAGATGGTTCTTTAAAGCTTTTGGTCTTGACCTTCTTCATAATATACAAGAATGATGCATAAACCAATACAAACACATATGGTTTTCTTGAAGAGGATGATCCATTATCATAAGATGATCCACTTGGCTAAGGATGTTTCATGATCAAGTAAGTGATATTCTCTATCTAACTTAGCTGCTTTGCCTAGATTCTAAGGCACGAGTTAAACAAAAAGTATAAAAGTGCAATCACTGAATAAACTAAATTTGAAAGTGATGTGTGTGCATATGGATAGAGAATCTGGGAAGGAAATAGTAAAATACAGTGAAGTGTATGCATGTGGAAACAAGAACTTTAAGGAAAAACTAATTGACTGATTTAGAGGAATTGAGGATTATCTTGTTGTTACTTATAGATTTATCAAGCAACTTAATTATGCGTATGATTCTTCACTTCACGTTGTAAAGAGTTCCCATGTTGATTATGATGTTTTGAATTCCTTAACACCACACAGAATAACCCGATTTGTACTCACCAATTATGTCTCACCACAATGCGTATATTTGTGTCTAAGGCCTAGTTACTTCCCAAACCCTAAATACTGACAATCCTCATAAACGTTCCCCACTTATTTTGAACAACATTTGAAGGGCCCGATTTAGTGATTTGGTCTAGGCTTTACAATGTAATAGTAGGAAGTGATTGGTTTTAGGTAAAACAAATAAACTAGAAAACAATTCCTAAGTTCACATGCAACCTACTTTTGATCTATGTTTTATCTATTGAACATACAACTTTGAATTGCAAAACAAGAACCCTAGAGGAGAGAGGCTATAATCGAAATCTACAAACTAGGGTTTAGTAATTACATACCTTTCAATTGTTATAGTAAACAATTGATGATTCCCTTGATCTTGATCTTGATCTTCTTGGAAGCTTAGCACCACAAGTGTAATGCCTCTAATGGAATCACACCCAAAATAGCAAGAAGGAAATTAGAGGAGAGGGGGAAGAGGGAGTATGCAAAATTTCGGCCCTTAGGGTTTCTTCCAAAGAAAAGAGTGACCAAAACATGAACCAGGAGGCTCCTTATATAGCTGAGGGATCTAGGGTTTAGGAAAACCCTAGTTATCCTTTGCTTAGGGCCTAAGCAAACCCAAGGGCCTTATCCAAGCCCCTATGGACGAAATTATTAGGATTTCCCCTAAAGATTTCGTCCACCCTTATCCAAGGGGGTTCTAGAGCCTTCCACTCAACTATTAGATAATTGCAAACTAGTCCCTGCACCTTATAATTAATTCTTTTAACTGGGAAGGAAATAGTAAAATACAGTGAAGTGTATGCATGTGGAAACAAGAACTTTAAGGAAAAACTAATTGACTGATTTAGTGGAATTGAGGATTATCTTGTTGTTACTTATAGATTTATCAAGCAACTTAATTATGCGTATGATTCTTCACTTCACGTTGTAAAGAGTTCCCATGTTGATTATGATGTTTTGAATTCCTTAACACCACACAGAATAACCCGATTTGTACTCACCAATTATGTCTCACCGCAATGCGTATATTTGTGTCTAAGGCCTAGTTACTTCCCAAGCCCTAAATACTGACAATCCTCATAAACGTTCCCCACTTATTTTGAACAACATTTGAAGGGCCCGATTTAGTGATTTGGTCTAGGCTTTGCAATGTAATAGTAGGAAGTGTATTAGTAGTGAGTTTTGGTTGGTTTACGGTTGTAATGAGTTTATGGTCGTAAACACTTTACGGTCGTAAACTCCTCTCGGTCATAGTCCCTATAAATAGAGGGTTTGTTAGACGTTTAGATGTTGTTGATGATTTTTAGTTCACGGTCTTTCATCAAGTTGTACCAGACGTTTATTAATATAAAACGTGTGCAAGTTTGGTTTATTCTCTCTTCGTCTCTATTTTTGCTTTATGTGATTGTGTTTGCTGTTGATCTCTGGTAAGATCCTTTATTTGGACTTTACAATTGGTATCAGAGCAGAACCAGTGTCAAAGGCATTCTACAATCAATTTTGGAGCAAGTTCTTATTGGCTTGAGACTAAGTTCGCATTTTTCTGCAAAAGGGTTTTTGGTCTCATCGAGAATCTGCAAAAAGGGAGTTTACGGTTAGAGCTTACGACCGTAATCCCAGTTTATGGCCGTAATCTCATCAAGATTCTTCGACAGTAACCTTAACCCACAAACCTCTTGGACCGTGAATCTTCAACCGTATTCTTGAACCGTGAACTTTTGGACCGTATTCCCTTTCGACCGCAAACTTCGAGTTTACGGCCGCAAACCAATTTTAGGCAGTAAACTCAATTTAACAGCAAATCAAAATTTTTTTAATTAATTAATTAATTTATTTTATTTCTCTCTTCGTCTCTATTTTTGCTTTATGTGATTGTGTTTGTTGTTGATCTCTGGTAAGATCCTTTATTTGGACTTTACAATTGGTATCAGAGCAGAACCAGTGTCAAAGGCATTCTACAATCAATTTTGGAGCAAGTTCTTATTGGCTTGAGACTAAGTTCGCATTTTTCTGCAAAAGGGTTTTTGGTCTCATTGAGAATCTGCAAAAAGGGAGTTTACGGTTAGAGCTTACGACCGTAATCCCAGTTTATGGCCGTAATCTCATCAAGATTCTTCGACAGTAACCTTAACCCACAAACCTCTTGGACCGTGAATCTTCAACCGTATTCTTGAACCGTGAACTTTTGGACCGTATTCCCTTTCGACCGCAAACTTCGAGTTTATGGCCGCAAACCAATTTTAGGCAGTAAACTCAATTTAACAGCAAATCAAAATTTTTTTAATTAATTAATTAATTTATTTTATTTCTCTCTTCGTCTCTATTTTTGCTTTATGTGATTGTGTTTGTTGTTGATCTCTGGTAAGATCCTTTATTTGGACTTTACAATTGGTATCAGAGCAGAACCAGTGTCAAAGGCATTCTACAATCAATTTTGGAGCAAGTTCTTATTGGCTTGAGACTAAGTTCGCATTTTTCTGCAAAAGGGTTTTTGGTCTCATTGAGAATCTGCAAAAAGGGAGTTTACGGTTAGAGCTTACGACCGTAATCCCAGTTTATGGCCGTAATCTCATCAAGATTCTTCGACAGTAACCTTAACCCACAAACCTCTTGGACCGTGAATCTTCAACCGTATTCTTGAACCGTGAACTTTTGGACCGTATTCCCTTTCGACCGCAAACTTCGAGTTTATGGCCGCAAACCAATTTTAGGCAGTAAACTCAATTTAACAGCAAATCAAAATTTTTTTAATTAATTAATTAATTTATTTTATTTCACATTTATTAAACAATAAAAAAATGGAATCTCAAAGTCAAACTCATTTTCAAGAACTTGATGCTATCATGGGCACCACTACACGAATTCCAAGGTTAATGTCTGCTGATGGCTTTCCCGAGTGGAAGTACAGATTCGAGAAATATATAAAAATGAAAGACTTCAAGATCTGGAAACTCATTATCAAGGATCCAGTCAGAATCACCGCTACAGTTGCTGGGCAAGTGGTCGACAAAAAGATAGAGAATTACACTGATGAGGACTTTGAGAGTGTGGAAGAACAGGAGAAGGCATTGGCTATCTTAACCATGGCTCTGTCACCAGATATTGGTCAAGGTTTCAGAGAGTATACGTTTGCTAAGGCTTTGTGGGAAGCTCTAATTGAGGTTTATGAAAGGAACGAAGACATGCGAGAGAGTCGCTAAGACATGCTGCGACAACAATTCAATATGTTCAATTATGTTCCTGGTGAGACTCTTAAAGCACAGCTGCAACGATTTACAACTCTCAATACTAAAATGACTGTGGCTGGGATTTTCTATACAAAGTGAGAGATAAACAAGAAGCTACTGAATGCTCTCCCAAAATCTTGGGACATGAATGTAGCAGTCATTAAGAAGACTAAGGATCTCAACCGTCTCTCTCTCGCTGAAGTAATGGCAGTCATCAAGGCGTGTGATATTGATGACAAGCAGCGGGAAATCAACCATGTGAACTCTTATTCAGTTGCGAACCTTGGCATCTCTTCTAACAATGCTCTTTCATCCCTATCGTTTTCTCTTCCTTATGCAGGTCAATCATTTACTGCTCCACAAGCTCAGAAGCAGACCTTTCCCACTCCATCAGCTTCCTCTGCATCATCTTCAACTGGGGCTTCTTATTCAAAGGGAAAGGAGAGTGATGAAAATCTTGCGCTTGCTTCAGGGCTTGTCAATTGCTACAATGCACTCGTAGCCGGAGATCTCCCACCTCAACTATCATTTGTCGATCTTGATCAGATTCACCCTGAAGACGTTGAGGAGATGGATATTACATGGCAAATTGCCATGGCAGTATTTAGGGAAAAATAGTTTGCCAAAAAGACTAGAAAGAACAACTGGAGAATGGGTGCTGATAAGAAGGTTGGGTTCAACAAGGGAAAACTTTGATGTTTTAACTATCATGAGCCAGGGCATTTTGCTCGTGATTGTCCATAGCCAAACAGAAGATTAAATAATGACAGGACAATAGTTGCAGTCGGAAACAATCGAAGTGGTGCTCAAACAAACAATGAGAAGGCTTTGGTCGCTCAGTCTTTTGACTGGGAGGATCAGATGCAGGCGTTGAACTTGTCTAGACCTGAAAATGCCCACCTGGCACAAGTTTGTGATGATGCTCCGACAGAGATTGTAGCAGCTGAAGATTAGATAAAGGAGCTGCAATTTGCATTGATGGTAT